GAGGCACAAACAGCATTTCTCCCATCATTTATCCCATTTCATGTGCTGTTGGGGCACAATCCTTTCTCTGATTCATTCTCTGACTCTCTGGGCAGTTTTTGGGGCATTCCAGCATGTTCTCAGCTCTGATTCTGCATTGAATCTCCCCCTGAGCCATCAGCACTTTTGAATTTTGTGGTATCTGAGTGCAGTTTCTGAGCCCACTCTGGGTCCCATCACACCCCCAAAAGCATTAATCAATCAATAAACACCCAACACAGGTTTTAACACCACTGTGAAATACCTGGGCAAAGGTTTTTACCTTCAAAATCCTTCATTTCCAGATCCAGAGGGAAACCCAGTGACAGGATGACCTGCAGGCAGGGGAGGAATGAAGAGTTTTAGCTCAGCAGAACACAGTCCAAGCCAAAATCAGTCACAAYTAACAAAATTTCAAATCAAACAAGATCAGATAATGATAATTTACCTACAAACTAAGCCCTTGTTTGACATAGATTTCAGTGCTGTGAATTTGTTTCCTGACACAGGGGATGATCACGTTCCCGATTTTCCTAAATCCCACCCAAGTTTCCTCTCAGATTCTCATTTGGGAACAATAAAGCTCAGCCTATGCCCCCAGGTCAGACTCCTCACTTCACCCTGGATTAGGCAAAGGCCTCAGTAACACCAGCCCCTGTTTATTCTGAGTGATCCTTGGCAYGGATAAACGAAAATCTCTCCTTGACAGGCACTGCCAAATTTTATGACCTAAAAGTTTGCCAGCASTGACAATTCTCAGGCTGGATTTATTTACTTTTTGTTTTCAGGGTGCAGCAGCGTGTGAAGTTAAACCCCCAGCCTGTGGCAGTGGCTGCAGCAATGAGGATGCAGAGTTTTGAAAAAGCATCAGCAGCGATCTGGAGATGAATAATGCTCGGGTTTAGCAGAGAATAAAAAAGTTCAGAACTTTTTAATGTAAGAAAATTATAGATTTAACCTGATGGGGCTAAGTTGCTCCCTGCCTACATCATTACAGATAATTTATTTATTTATTTTGATTGAATAAAGCAAATGTTCACATTAGTGGCTGAGAATTTTTTGCACTGACTCATCTGTGTCACTTTAGACAAGGCTYGGGACAGAATCCTCCTGCTGAAAGATCAACCAGAACGGTTAGGGCTTGACTTATCTTCTCATAACAATAATAAAATACGCACAGATCAAATATTGACAGGTAGCTCTGAGGTGCTTGATTATTAGAGATTAGATAGTTAATCCATTAGGGAAAAGAAAACCCAGCAAAATAAACAAATAAACCATAAAGCCTTTCATGGCTCTGACCACGTCAAGGAGCGAGTCCGTGCCCGTTTCCCTTTTTATGTCACGGCAGGAAAAAAAAANAAGGAGCGAGTCCGTGCCCGTTTCCCTTTTTATGTCACGGCAGGAAAAAAAAAAAAAAAAATAAATAAAAAACCCGCAAAAGAAAAAGCAAACAAAGCAAGCCTGCAATCCAAACCACCACAAGGCACTCTGCGAGGCTTTGTCGGGATCATCTGGACTAAACCCTTTTTTCCTCCTCAAGGAACACCTGTTTTCCAAAGAACTGGCCGTGTTACACATTAACTGCCCGCTCCAGGCTCGGCCCTGGGCACGTGTGGGCACGGCCAACGAATGCTGGAGCTGGTGCCAGCACGGCCAATCCCCCCTGGCACCTCAAACCTGTCCCCTGMCCCCAGGGAACGCAGCAGCAGCCACCAAAAATCTGCCTGGGCTCAGCCCTGCCACCACTCAAGGCAGGTTTTTTTAWTAATTCAGTTTTAAGGCCAGCAGGGAAGGGTTTAAGACACCCCATGTGCTAATCCCCGCTGTGGAATCCCTTCCCAAAATTCCCTTTTTAAATGTGTTAATTTTYTGTTCAGGGCTGGCACACAKCTCCTGCCTGCAGAGAAATCTGTGRAGCAACGGGGAAGCAAAACCTGCTCACATCAATCAGGTTTTGAATGAAATCTGAAATAATGCGCCTTGTTCGGAAGGCTGTGCCCATGCTGTTCCTGCCTGCGGGGTCACATCTCATCTCTCCTCTGCTGGATTGAGCCTGGACACAATTTCTGCTCCTGGGTGGGTACAGTGACCTCAGGGAGGGGTTTCACCCTGGTTTTTTAGGGTTCACTCTCCCCACACTCCATGTCTGGGGAGTCCCTCCAAGCTGCATCACACTGGGGCTGCCACCAGCGGGTTTAGAGCTGTGATCTGCAGAAATATTTCAATTACCCCACAGAGCCACTAAAGGATTTCCCTCTGGAACAGCAGGCTGCAAGTGCAGCCCTAAAAACAAAAATAAACCCACCCTGGGAAGCCAATTCCTGCCTCGAGGACCCTCTGCTCAGCCTCCACTCCTCACTGCCACCTTGCCTTTGTTTAAAAACACCAATAACAACATTTTATTGTGGTTTTTTTCATTGCCAGCAATCAAACCCACAAAGCTCCTGGTACCTGGAGGACCTGGGCGTAGCCGTAGGTGGCTGCAAGGTGCAAAGCTGACTGTCCTTTGTTGTCCACGGCGTTGACGTCGGCTCCCGCCTGGATCAGGTCGTGGACGATGGCCGGCTGCCTGGCAGTGACAGCCACAAGCA